CCCACCAGGGCCCCCTGGAAGGCTCAGCTCCCTGAGGATGCTGTCAGTTCCTGACTCTCAGGTCAGCAGCTCCAAGGGTGGGTGTCCCGGAGCCACGGGTAACAGAGTGTGAGGCGGGGCCTGTTGGGGCCACTGACAGCCAGGGCCAAGGCGGGATGGAGCCGTGAGGGTCCGTGTGTGAAGGGCAGAGAAGCTCCAGGCTCAGCTGTGGGACTGCCGGGCGTGGGCCTTAGGCCCCAGGCTCAGGGAAAGGGTTTCACGTGGTGGCTGTTGTGTCAACACCCTCTGCACATGAGCACAGTGCACCTGGGTGTGCACGGCTGTGCTCTGGTGTGTGTGCACAAGCACACAACACACATGTGCACAGCTGCCCTGTAGTGTGTGTACACGTACATGCAGCACACACACACACACCTTATACTCATCCAGACAGTCCTCGTTTCTCCCTGTCCAGACGATTATTTTTCAGAGTCCTTTCTCCTGGTTCTTCCTCAGAGGGGACTGTTTGAAAGCAAGATGGGCTTGCTCGGGCCTCAGGTGTCCTCCGCCCCCACTCTCACCAGGTGGTGACCAGCAGGAAGGCGGTCCCCAGGCCACACTGCAGCTCCCCGGCCAGCACCTCTGCTCTGGCCAGAAGTCTGTCCGTCACATCTCTGGTTTTTGTCTCGCAGTTTTCAGAAGAACCGAGGCCTGGAGACATTATTGATATTTTTCACATTGGCTACAAGGACTGGGCCATCTACGTGGGAGACGGTAATGTGATCCATCTGACGCCTCCAAGTAAGGACTGTTGAAGATATCATTTTCAAAAGATTTGTCAAAGAGACAATGAGAGCAATTGCAATGAGACCCGGCCGAGGGGAGCCTGAGTCGGGAGACACATTCTCCCTGGGCAGAGCTTGCGCAGAGGGTAGTCCCTGCCCACACACTGGGCTCCCAGGGGTCCAACAGGTCCTGACGTAGCAGACGGAGGCTCACTGCCTTCCTCTGGGGCAGCTGGGCTGCTTCGGTGCTTAGATTCCTCCAGCTGCAGGCTGATGTAGCTTGTTTTTTGCAGACTCTGATGGTATGATTTAAAGCAGCAAAGTTCATCAGAAGCTCACAGTCTAAGTCTTATGTAAGAAGGGCTCCCGTGTTGTGTTTTTCAAAAGTATACAACTTCACAAACCAGGTGTATGTCATAGGTGCTCCTTAGCACAAGCAGCTTTCACTGGTGCCCCTCCAAAAGGAAAACTCTTATGAACATCACATAGCAAGCACCTGTGAATAATTTATTTAACTCATAAATATGCAAGGGGGAGAATGACCAAGTCAGTTAAACGGGAGATGAATGAAACTGAAGTCCGCACCGTCAGTGGAAGAGAACCGAGGGGGCCAGAGCGAGCCTGCTAAATCAGATGCACCTTGGTTCCCCCCGACAGAGCAGTGGCCACATCACCTCTGACGCTCTGTTCTCATCGAGGGAAAGATGCTTGTCATCAGTACCAGAATACTGCTTTTGCCCCTTATGTATTTCCCATTAGTTATCATTTATCCTGAGGGTGTTGTGAGAACATAGGAATTGATTACTTATAGTCAATCAGGCTCATTGAATCCAGATGGCACTTAGGGGCCTTGTAAGGGGAAGCATTACTGTGAGGACCTGTAGTCCTTTTTATAGCCAATTTCCTGGGTGTGGACAGCTTTTCTGAAGAATATGGATTTCAAGTGCTTTCATCATACTTGAGATCAGAAACAAAAACTTCGCGTGCTTAGAAAATAAAACCTGGACTCACCATGACAATGGGATGGGCACCGCATAGGCTGATAGCTCTTCTGCGGACCCCTCCCTATGCCCTGCATGTGCCAGGTCATGGGAGAGGAGACACTGTGTGAAGGGTTCTCTAAGCCTTTGCTCACTGCGTTAGTAGGAGCCTGGCCTTTGTGCCATGCAAGAGGCCGTTTCACAGTCCAGTTCTAGGAGTTTCACAGCACAGAAGTGCCTGTTCACGTCTCTCTGGGCCCAATACAGGGAGAACAGTCCACAGAGGGCCTAAGCAGAGTGGGTACTAATAAAAATAAGTCTGTTTCTGAAGTTTAAAGCTGAACAAGGATATCAGTGTATTGCTAACATAACTTTTTCACGGCTAAGCTTTGGATGAACCCCAGTGCTCAGTAGAAGGGGATCGGTCAAATTTACTATGTAAATGTTGATAACACAGCACTAAGATATTGTCCTGTGACTCAGCCACTCACAACTGTGACACTTACAACATGTAAAAATAATTCATGATGCCTTGTCAACCAGGAGTTACATCCATAACCGGTAGCATTTTCCCTTTTCTCTTTTCTTCTGCCTTCTGTCTCCCTGCCTCATCTTCCCGTGACCCCTCTATGTGATTCCCAGGGGGGTTTCCCAGGATCGGCTCCTCCAATATGTTCATATTTCTGACTGGCAGAGCACAGGTGACGGAAGAGCCCCTGGGGTCGGCGGCTTGGGGCTGCTTATATCGGGTCAACAACTACTTGGATGATAAGTGCAGACCCCGGCCTGTGGATGACATCATCAGTTCTGCCAGGGAGATGATTCATAGCGAGAAGACATATACAGTTCTTTCTGATAACAGCAAAACTTTTGTCACTGATCTCAGATATGGCCGGCCCCGCCGTGAGTTGGTAAGGCCCTCTGCAGGGTGATCCTTCTCCCTCTGCAGTTCTTCTTGGAGTGGGATGGGAAGTGGGGCTTTGGGAAACCACCACTTGAGCCTGCTTGGTATTTGTTATGTTAATACTATAGCATTACGTCTCATATTAATGCTACAGTATTTCTACTGTACTTCTTCCCATTACCATTTCTCCCCTTTCTGACCCTCTCCCCTCTGCAATCACCACACTTGTTGTCAACGTCCGTGGGAATATTAATTCTCATAGCGATGATGCAACGGCAGGCACTTGAAAGCTCTTAGCTAATTAAGTCCTGACAACAAGCCAGTCTGCACATGGGGGCCTGGGCACACAGGGTTTAGGCGACTCCTCCATCATGTCCAGCATCAGATGAGCAGTGACCCAGGTGTAGCACATCCTTGAAGGGCACCTTTCAGTCTGGAAAAACATTCCAAATGATTGTCAGCATGCAGCACCGGATGTCGGGAACCATTGCTCTGAAAGTGCTGAGTAGCCAGTCCCCGGTCTCACACCGCCACTGACTGGCTGGGAGACCTTCCCAAGTCACCTCGCCCTACCATGTCTTGGTTGATGGTCTGGTCCTAAAGTCGGAGGGTGATGGGCAGGCTGGTCCTCATGCTGCTGCTCTTACCATCCCTCAGTCGATGCCAAACCCAGGGGGATGAGCCAGATAGGTACAGAAAATTGCATCAAAAGCAATCTCTGTATAGAGAGGAGGGGCAGCTGGTCCAGCTTGTGGCACTGAGGTGCCCAGGGGAGAGGGTGTCTGCTGGGAGAATAGTATTGTTAAAGGCAGAGGGTCTGGGAGGGTGTTTGGAGGACAGAAAACATGCTATCAGAGGAGCAGAGGCAAGAGAAAGCATGAGACGAAGGGGGGAAAGTTGCCCAGTAAGTGCAGAGCAGAGGGATGAGGATGAGGAGGGATGAGCGTGAAGATGGATGGGGGGGTGAGGAGCCAGATCAGGAGCTGTCTGTGGGTATGGACAGCATTCTGAGGCTCCACATGGGTCATTGCCAGATGTTCCCTTTGAAGGACCCACCGGATGACGTGAAGTGGACAAGGAGTGGTGGAAGAGTTGAGGGACAGCATTCTCTGACCCCAGTTAGAGGGAAGGAGGTGGGCAAAGATGTTATTGAAGGCACTTGGTAACTGGATGCGGGGCTGAGGGAAAAGGAGGCGTGAAGGGGTGACTCTGGGCCTCTGACTGAGCAATCTGGGCTGAGTGGCACCAGAAGGAGAGGCACAGAGAGAGGAGAGAGACAGAAAACAGGCCTCATTCCATGGGGATTGAATGCAATGTGGGGGAACGCCCACCCAGTCTCTGGAAGGGAGGGTGAATGTGCAGAAAAGCAGCCAGTAGAGGGGGAGTGCTGGTGGGGTGGGAAGAGCAAACTGCTTTCTGGCTGAGTGATCTCGGGACGTCCCTAACCTCTGCAGTCCCAGCGCCACAGTCGTGCGTGCGTGGGGATTCGTCCCGCTCTGTAAGGCCAAGGTGCTCCTGGGTGCGTGTGATGAAACGCTCCCACTGATAGCTGTGTGGTCACCACCAGGCTGGATGCTCGGCCCAGCTGCCCACCGTGTCGCCCTAAGGAGCTTCCGTTTGTGTTTCACGTGAATGAGTGCCCAGAGGCTTGGGAGAGACCCTGAGGAGGAGGCTATTCAATGAAACTGTGGACAACCTGCTTTGAAACATGTTCTGTCCAAAAAAAAAGTTTGTAGGTTCAATCCCTGGTCAGGGGGCACGTGTGGGAGGCAACCAACTGATGGTTCTCTCTCACATCAGTCTCCCTCTCTCTCTCTCCCTTCTTCTCTCTCTCAAATCAATAACCATGTCCTCAGGAGACGATTAAGAAAAAAATACCTAGAAAACATGTTTCATTAGTAGGCTATTTGAGACTCAGTAAGGACAACAGATCAGGAGACAATTTCAATGGGAAAGACAGCTTGTCACAGTTCCCAGGAGGAGGGGACACGCCACACCACACGGGCCTCATGAGAAAGTGCCGGGTTGGTGGGAGGCAGAGAAAGTGGGCGAGAGCCTTTCCTGTGGTTTCTGTGGGAAGAATGACTGAGGCAGGACAGGCAGGTTTAGGACTAGCTAGTTAGAATAATTTCTGCTGGCTCTGGGGGCAGAGGGGCTGGCCCTGGGCAGATTAGGGCACCTGAATAGGTGGCCTGGAGTATGAGAACCTCTTAGAGGAGGTCTCTGGGGCTGTGGGCTCTTTGCATTTGGTCCATTTGCATTTGAAAAGCACCTTTAGGGCCCAGTCCTTTTCTGTCATTAGGGGTTGGCTAGCCCTGGTGGGGCAGGGGGCAGTCTCTCCTGGTTCCTTAAGACTGAGGATGTCAAAGTGTCAGAACAGATCAAAGACAAGGTTAATGCCCAACAATGGGGCAGGACAAATGTGCTAGGGCCCATCCAAGGAGAAGGAAAGACAACTTTTCCCGCTAGACAACCTTTGTCTAGGCTTCCTGTCCCTCCTGCCCCCAAAGGGGGCTCTGGGAGAGTGACATCAAAGCTGCTGGTCCCAGCAGTCCCCAGGGTGTCTCGTCCCTGGGTCACCCTAGGGGTTGTGTGGCAGTGAACACAGCTCTCCCATCCAGGCCTCTGCTGTTTCCTAGAGGCCTGTCTGCACTCTCTCTGCTTCTTCTGTTGTAGTCACGCGAAGACCCGATGCCTGGAGACCTGATGGAAATATGTCGAGGCCTTTATGAACGAACACTGGGCCATCTACGTGGGAGGCGGTCATGTGGTCCACTTGGTCTGTGAAGGTAAAGATACATTATTTGTTTAAATAGCAGCTTTATGTTGAGAAGAGGGAAGAAAAGACAGCTCACTGCTGTGGGGATTAGCCTGCTTCCTTTTGAATTGTGACCTGTTTGATCTTCATTCACTGAGTCAGGGAAAGCGATGGAATGCGGACTCCATTAGTTGACAATTCTGTTGTGACTCTTAGGTGTCCGGAACTATGCCAGGTGATAGGAAGTAAGAAAATGATGGAAAGTTCTGTCTTGCCATGGAGCCACACAGTTTTTACACCATGGGGCAGAAATGGCCAGGGCTTTGGAGTTGTTTCAAATCCTTCCTCCACGACTTTTGTCTCTTGGGTGTGTTACTTAAGTTCTCTGGCGCAAAGTTGCTTTATGAAATGGAGACAGACATTTTCACCTGGGAGGCATTGTAACAGGATCAAATGACACCTGTTCCTTCCTGGGAGGCACTCAAAAAACTCAAAAACTGGTCTGAGTCAGACCCATGCCCAAAATGCATAATCTGCAAGGATTGTTACCATGTCTTTATCTTAAGTCAGGAACAAGTTGAAACAACTGAAATGCCTGGTAACTGGGGATGTGTCTGTAAATTAAAGTCACAACATCAATGGAATGCCATGGCTGCCATTCCAAGTTATGAAGTGGTTCCCCATTTGTTGCTATGGGAACATGTTTCCAATATTGTTAAGTATGTAAGTTATACAAGTTATGGATCAAGCAATTGCACTCCTGCTGAATTTAACGTCTAACAACAGGAGAGTAGGAGGAAGGGACCCCCAGAGGTCAGTAGTGGGGCTTTTCGGTTTTCCTTCTCCTCCTCCTTCTCCCGCCTGCACTGCTAAGCATGGCAGCACCTTACAGTGACTGTCTGTGATCTCAGATCAGTACTCCTGGCCTCACTCTTCCAACAACAGTGAGCATGAAGTAAAAGCTGTGGTGAAATATGAACCTCTGAAGGATGTGGCTAACAACGACAGTTACAAGGTCAACAACTACTTGGACAGGAGATATAGGCCACATCCTGTCAAGCTGGCAATGCAGAAAATTGGTGAAATCAGGTGCTGCAGTGTTTTGCAGCCCAATTGTGAACATTTTGTCACCGAACTGAGAAATGGCCACAGCCACAGCGAACAGGTAAGACCCTCGAGCGATTCCTTGTGGAGTTCAGTTCACAGAAGTTGTGAGGCAGCTGTGGGTAACTATCAGAGGTGCCCTCCTGACATCTCTCACCCAAACACCTAAGGACCAAGCACCTAACTCACCCAAGGTCACCAAAGCTAAGACACACTTCAGAATGTGAACCAATAGCTTTGACTCCAATGTTAAAAGGACTTATCTAAGAAAGAGAAGAAGCTGAAAACTATGAATAGTAGTAAGATGACAATGAACTCATAGCTATCAACAACCAAACCTAAAACACAAAACCAAAAACAAACTAGGCAAACAACTAGAATCACAGAAATGGAGATCACATGGAGGGACATCAGCAGGGAGGGGGAGGGGGAGAGAGGGGGAAAAGGCACAGACAATAAAAACCAGAAGTTGTAGGTACAAAATAGACAGGGGGAGGTTAAGAATAGCATAGGAAATAGAGAAGCCAAAGAACTTATATGTACGACCCATGGACATGAACTAAAGGTGGGCAGGAATGCTGGTGGGAGGGGCATGCAGGGTGGAAGGGGTTAAAGAGGAGAAAAGAAATGGGACAACTGTAATAGCATAATCAATAAAATATGCTTAAAAACTAGTACTTTGTCCACTGAGTCCCAGTAGTTCTCCTCTGTGGAGAGAAGTTTCAGTGGGGGGATCTTTTCCAAAGGCTCCCAGTGCATTCCGGGAGGGCTCGTTGCCCTGCACTCATGAACGGCTGACTCAGGTGCCTGCACCACCACCCATCAGCCAGGAGATCTGCTCAAGGGCCACTGTACTGACTAGACATGGATTTCTCATCTGGAAACCAGCAGGTGCCTCTGTCCCATCCACTTCACAGTCTGTTGTGACCGTTAAGTGCCTCAAAAGGTGCTGTGACAACTGGGAAGCTCAGCTCAAACATGAACTGCTGTTGCGAGCAGTTGCACCTCCCACAAGCCTGTGGGTGATCGGGTCAAGTATTTCCTGTCCCTTCTACAGAAGAGGAGCTCCGGGAAGTCACGTGGTTTACCTTAAGTTTATCAGCATCGTTCCTGTGACCCCCAAGTTGCCAAGTTACAGTTCTCCTGCCACCACCAGGAAGCACTGGGGTCCTCTGGTCCCTAATTCTGCAGCAGCCCCTCACTTGGGCCTCTGTGCTCTCAGAGCTCTGGGTCCCTTCCAAACACTGAGCTGCCTGTAAACAGAGAACACCAGAGCTCAACTCCCTGCTCAGCTTCCACCCCCTGAGGGTTGTGGGCAGGTCAATCCCCCTGTTGGGCCTCAGTTTCCCTGTGTGCAGGATGAAGGGCTGGGTAGGGGACATGGGAGGAGGGCCTGGCTGGCCCTGCCCATAGGCAATCCCTCACCTCTGGGCTCCGCTCTGAGGGTAGATCCTGGAAAGTTCTGTAGTTGTCCTGGAGAGATAGGGTCACTGTATCCCCCCGAGGGTGGAGGATGGTGAAGGCTGACCTCAAAGCTCAGGTTAAATGCCAGCAAGGCCACACTTGACCACTTGTGTCTGCAAAGCAGAGTAGGCCAGTAGCTGATGGCAGCCAGAACCTGTGTGGGTTGAGAAGGAAATAGGTAACCGCAAGATTCAGCTAAGTGTGACCACAGCTCTTGCAGAAGACGTATTTATTGTTTAGATTCACCTGGGAACAAAACGATCTTTGCCCCCAGTGTCTCCCTAAGTCTGCAAAACATACTTGACCTTTATATAACCAACCCCTACAAAATAATCGTGGATGCCATGTTCAGGGTCATTCTCTCTCCATCCAAGGACAATGGCCCCCGCTTTTACTTAACCTGTGTCCTGTTGTGTTTTCTTAATCTCCCGTCGCCCCCACTCAGGGACCTCCACCCCGCGCTGGTCGCGGCACCCGAGGGTCCTCAGAGTCAGATCTCCTGGGACACAGTCCACTGCTTCCTGGGAGAAGGCTCTGTGAACGAGTCCATGCTGCCTTCAAGGCAGTGAGTGCACCATACGATTCGGTCCCAGAGAATCAGGGAGTCACCCCGAGAAAGCTCCTTCAGAGCACCGCTCTGGACAGGAGGGTGGCAGTGCTCAGCCCCCGGGAGCGTTTGTATCACTTGGGCTCAGAGCCTGAGAACACTGACGCTACTCCCTGCGACCAGGTCTGGGTTGGGTGTCTGCAGGCGCCTCAGAGAGCAAGACCTAACAAAGCTGCCGCCCCTTTACTGCTGGAGAGGAACGTGGGTTTAGGGCAGGTGCACATGAGAAAACGAGCGGGCTGTGGAAGACTGGGGCCCTTACTTGGCCTCCTGAATGACCTCGAGGAGGGGGACTCTGAAGCCTGGTGATGAGCAGGAGAGGGGGCTGGGGTGTCCAGACGATGGGGACTTCTGCTGGGCAGGGGGAGCTCCGGAGCTCTGAATCCCGTGCCTCGTGCCGGGGAGGACATGCAAAGCCAGCCCGGAGGAAACGCCCATCTCAGTGGCTGGCAGCGGAGGAAGGACGGGCCGGGGGGGCCCCTGCTGGACGCCGTCATGCACATTTCTGACGAGGTCAGCCCCAGTGAGCATGCTCTGGCCCTGAGCGTACATCCCCTCGTGCGCCCCCTGAGCGTGCGAACCTATTCTGCGAGACTTGGGTCCGTGCCACAGAAGATCTTTGCCCTCACAACCTCGGGCAGTGGGACCAACCCCACAGCCGGAAGACAGTTCAGTGCCTTTACTGACCGATGCTGCTGACCAGTGCACGGACAGACCGAGGAGCTCCCTCCGAGTGAACTGGAGTAGAGCGTTTCTGGGCTCATCTGTCCTCTCCTCTCTGCCTGGGTTCCTGCCACAGCCAGGCTCCCACGTCTGCTGGTGAAACGGTGCTGCAAGTCCCTCTGGATTGAGAGGGAAGTCTTGTCTACACTTAGCAAGACACACTACTACCAAACATGGTTGCTTAAGCCAGACTGGTAATCATTTATAAAGCATATGGACGTGACGTTTTTCCTCTGCTGGACACAAACAATGACAGCATAGTTCGTGTTCATGAATCACCTCTCAGAGATTTGGGGGGGAGCCGCCTTGTTGCCTGTCACCGATCAAGTGTGTTGTTTCACTGTTCAAGATGTTGATGGTTTCAATAAAACACCACGTTGTCCGTGGTTATAAAAAAAGCATTAACTCGTAAGTTAATAAGAAACGGGGACCGTCTCTGTCTCAGGGTTGTCAGTGTGGGGACCTGCCCGGGTGCTGACCGAGCCCAGCAGCAGAGGCCTTGAAGAGGAGACGGGTCAGGAAGGTGCACAAGGGCCGTGTGTCGTGTCCCACGCCACTGGGTTTTCAGAAAGGGGACGGGAAAAGTCCTTGGCTGCCGAACCCGGCCGACAGCCTTTCCCCCGAAGATGTGTCCCAGAAGCTGGAGCCCATGGCACAGGCAGCTGCAGCTGGGCCCGCGAGGGCCAGGGTCGCAGCCCTCCTGGAGTCCAGGCCTGCAGCTGCCCAGCCTCTCGCTGACAGGGATGCAGCCCTCACTCTTAACCAGATGGTCGCTGTGTCGAGAGGAGAGCAGGCAATGGCCCAAAGGGCCACTCCCTGAAGGGGACGACACCTTGCAGCTTACCATTTCCCTTCCATTCCGCACACGAGGTTAATGGGGGGAGAGGAAGGCTCAGTGACTCCTACTTGGAATCACAATGGCTGGTCCGAAACTGCCATCCCGCCACCCTGGCCAGAGGAGCCAAGGAACGTCGACCACTGCAGGCAGCTCTGTCTGCCCAAGGGCCCCGGGAGCCAGGGGCTCCTGCTGGGAGAGGCGGTCCCCTTCCTGTGTCCCCCACAGCAGCGCTTTCTGATGGGGGAGCAGCGGGGGGCTCTGCCACATCCTCAAGCTGGCGGCACCCTCTCCCGTTCTCCACGGAGGGCTTCAAATCTGTTTTCAAGCACCTCCTGCGGGGTCCACTGTGCTGTCTGAGAGCGGGCTCCAGCCTGTCTGCAGCCTCCAGGCGTTACTGTGGACAGAAGTAGAGGAGGTCGTCTCACGGGCTGGTTGTTTAGCTGGTAGCTGTCTGCCCCGGCCCCACCCTGCCGCCACACCTGGGCACCCCTGTCACTCACCTCCACCCACGCCACTGAGCCCTGCTCTTCGTTGGGCAGCACTAACCCCCCCACAGACCCAGCTGAGGCACTGTGAGTGGTGGGAGCCTTTCCCCTTTGCCCGCCACTGGTTTGCAATGGAAATGGGACCCAGTTCATGGCCCGGGTAGAAGGGGGGCCAGGGAGAAGAGGATTATGGGAAAGGTATTCTCCCTTCAGAAAAAGAGACAAATGATGGACCACACCTGTCTTTACTGCTTTTAACCATTGCCAGGTGAAAATGTGTCCCTCGTGGCTGCTGGACCCAGAGCGACCATCACAGCAGACACAGGATCAGCGTGGTGGAGAAGCCTGGGTCTTCGGTGGCCTTGGTGCACTGCTGAGCTGACCCTGAGTCACCTGCCTCCATCCTCCTGCTCCAGGGACAGGGAGCGTCCAGGCTGCTGAAGCCCCTTTTTCATGAGTTCTGCTTCTCGCAGCCCATGGTACCCAAGGGCCATGAGCTCCTGGGCCACCCAGGGACAAACGCACCCACTTTCTAGAAGCTTCCCCATGGAGTACAGCACCCCGACAGTCTTGCCCACGGCTCCTGTACTTCCTGGAGTTGCTACGAGATAAGGGCCTGTGTGGCACCTGGGGGTGGACAGCTCTGTGCGCTCCTGCCTCCCCTTCCTGGTGTCGGGACACTTAGGCGGGGCCTGGGCAAGTTGTAACGTGGCTTCCAAGCCCCAGTGACCCCATGGTTTCATGTATGTAATTATGGGCCTGTCCCTTCAGAGAAATCCTGAGTCTCCCTTCAAAGCACGTTCAGCCCTGGCTAGTGGCTCAGTTGTTGGAGTGTCAACCTCAGGCACTGCGGTGGCCAGTCTGACCCCCACTCGGGACACACACAGGGAGCAACTGAAGTGCATGGATGAGTGGGGGAACAAAGCAGTGCTTCTCCCTCTCTCTCTCTCTGTCTCTCTCCCTCCTTCGTCTTGTGCTGGAATCCACAAATTTAAAAAAATATTAAACCTATTTAGTAATCAGTTGTTCTTAGTATCATAAGGAAAGTGAAAGTGGAACTCTCAGCTTCCATATAAAGCCTGTCCCACCAGCAGCACCCACCATACAGCACCATGAACTCCCGGGTAAGTCCCTGTACCTTCCTGTCGGTGGCTCTGGGTGGTGGGAAGCTCCCCTCCTGTGAGGGCCCTACCTGTGCACCCAGTCCTGTGACCTCCAGAGCTTGTCTTTGGAGACTTTTAGAGAAAACTATGCTGTTTCATAGTCTCTTTTTTGGCAGGACGGTGAGGTCCTCAGGCGAATGAGCCTTGTCTCTTCATCTGGCACCGTGGGGGGACCTGGGGCCCCCAATTGGGAGGGTATTGGGTGTCCAGGCTGATGGGGGGACCTGGGAAGCCAGTGAATCCCTGGCCTGTCTCCCTCAGCTGCCGCCCAAGGTTGGGGCCTTCTCAGCCCCAGTCTGTCCTCTCCCCTCTTTGCTCCAACACAGGCGGCCCCGCCTGATACTGTGCCCTGGAATTTTAGCGTGCTGAGTCCACAGCTCCCCTCCTGTCACCCTGGGGTCCAGACTCAGACCCGTCCCCGGGGGGGCAGGCCGAGCTCCGTTTGTGTTTAACTGAGAAGGAGCCGCTGGTCTTGGGCTACTCCTGGAAATGAGGTGGTTCTAGGAAGGTGCACTGCACACTCCAGAGCCCGTCCATCTGCATCCAGGGTCCAGGGGCAGAGCTGTGTTGGGAGAAACACAAAACCGGGCAATTCCTTGGGGAACCGTTTCTGACCCAGACAGGGCCCAAGCCCACCTCCGTCTGTCCCCGGCTACTGTGGACAGTGCCCTGGCCTGGCCTTAGTTAGACATTAGATGCAGAGTGAGAAATTTCCTCCTGTCCCCCAGATGGAGCCAGCACTGGGCCCGCCCTGCCCTGGGCACAGAGAGGAGGAGCTGGGGAATCCTGGCCCTGCTGACTGCCCCACTTTCCTCCTCCTCACACACTTCCTTCCCTCCTACTGCACACCAGGCCCCCTGGGGGGATCCTGCAGATGCAGGGAGACAGGGCTGAGCACACAGGGACCTCCCTGACTGGAGCTCAAAGCCCAGAGGGGTGCAGACAGGCACAGGGACCTGCAGTGCCATGTGGTCCTTGTGGGGAGACGTGCAGGGTCCAGGGCCTGGGGACCCAGAAATGTCAGCTGAGGCAGGCTGGGGACTTCAGGCGGCTTCTCAGAGGAGGGGTGTCTGTGTGTTGGGGGTGGGGAAGCTGGTGGAGGCAGGGAAGCCGATGGGCTGATGAGGATGTGCGTGCAGAGGGGCAGAAGTGTGAGTGAGCTGCGTGGTGGGAAGGGAAGTCCTGCAGTCAGCCTGGGGGTGGGGGGGGCGGGCACAGTGCTGGGGGGGGGGCCGGGGGTGTCAGGAGCTGCACAAGGGCGAACCTTGCCTTGAGGCCTGAGGAAGGTCATGGCCAAATGGTCCCTGTGGGAAGGCCCCAGGGGATCTTGGGGAGAATGGAGGTGGAGGGTTAGGGACAGGAGGCACAGGGCTGCTCAAGAGACCACAGAATTCAGGAAGGCAGGGACTGAGCTTCGCTGAAGCAAATGGTGATGGGCAGGGTGTGGACAAGGATGTCAATTCAGGGAAAAATTTGTAGGGTCAACAGCAGTTGTTGGGTGTTGGCAAGGAGTGAGGGCAAAGGGAAGCTGACCCCTGACCTCAGATCAGGAGGCCTGGCGTGAGGGCTGCAGGGGGTTGCCATTTGCTAGGTCATTCACAAAGTGAGAGAAAAACTGAAAAATCCCCAAATCGTGCTCTGTGGTGACCTAAGCAGGGACATGGAAGAGCATGGACAAGTTGTTGCAGAAGGGAGGGAGGCAGGGACACACAGGGCCAGGGACAGATGTGGCAGAGAAGACCCAGCACAGACACCTCCTACTGACTGTTCTTGAGGATTTCCTTCCACCACTCTGAGCCTGTTTCCCCTCCTGCACAAATGGGTGCTGCCTCCTCCCCTGGACACTGGGAGGGTGGCAGTGACGGTAGGAAAAGTGCCGGCAGAGCCTGCTGTGTGACAGCATCAGCCCCCTCCCAGTGCGGGAGGCTGGGCAGCCCCACCAGGGCCCCTGGAAGGCTCAGCTCCCTGAGGATGCTGTCAGTTCCTGACTCTCGGGTCAGCAGCTCCAAGGGTGGGTGTCCCGGGGCCAGAGGTAACAGAGTGTGAGGCGGGGCCTGTTGGGGCCACTGACAGCCAGGGCCAAGGCGGGATGGAGCCGTGAGGGTCCGTGTGTGAAGGGCAGAGAAGCTCCAGGCTCAGCTGTGGGACTGCTGGGCGTGGGCCTGGGGCCCCAGGCTCAGGGAAGGGGTTTCACGTGGTGGCTGTTGTGTCAACACCCTCTGCACATGTGCACAGTGCACCTGGGTGTGCACGGTTGTGCTCTGGTGTGTGTGCACAAGCACACAACACACATATGCACAGCTGCCCTGTAGTGTGTGTACACGTACATGCAGCACACACACACACACCTTATACTCATCCAGAGAGTCCTCGTTTCTCCCTGTCCAGACGATTATTTTTCAGAGTCCTTTCTCCTGGTTCTTCCTCAGAGGGGACTGTTTGAAAGCAAGATGGGCTTGCTCGGGCCTCAGGTGTCCTCCGCCCCCACTCTCACCAGGTGGTGACCAGCAGGAAGGCGGTCCCCAGGCCACACTGCAGCTCCCCGGCCAGCACCTCTGCTCTGGCCAGAAGTCTGTCCGTCACATCTCTGGTTTTTGTCTCGCAGTTTTCTGAAAAACCGAGGCCTGGAGACATTATTGAGATTAGTAACAGTGACTGCAAGGACTGGGCCATCTACGTGGGAGACGGTCATGTGATCCATCTGACGCCTCCAAGTAAGGACTGTTGAAGATATCATTTTCAAAAGATTTGTCAAAGTGACAATGAGAACAATTGAAATGGGACCCCGCCGAGGGGAGCCTGAGTCGGGAGACACATTCTCCCTGGGCAGAGCTTGCGCAGAGGGTAGTCCCAGCCCACACACTGGGCTCCCAGGGGTCCGACAGGTCCTGATGTAGCAGACGGAGGCTCACTGCCTTCCTCTGGGGCAGCTGGGCTGCTTCGGTGCTTAGATTCCTCCAGCTGCAGGCTGATGTAGCCTGTTCTTGCAGACTCTGATGGTATGATTTAAAGCAGCAAAGTTCATCAGAAGCTCACAGTCTAAGTCTTACGTAAGAAGGGCTCTCCGTGTTGTGTTTTTCAAAAGTATACAACTTCACAAGCCAGGTGTATGTCATAGGTGCTCCTTAGCACAAGCAGCTTTCACTGGTGCCCCTCCAAAAGGAAAACTCTTATGAACATCACATAGCAAGCACCTGTGAATAATTTATTTAACTCATAAATATGCAAGGGGGAGAATGACCAAGTCAGTTAAACGGGAGATGAATGAAACTGAAGTCCGCACCGTCAGTGGAAGAGAACCGAGGGGGCCGGAGCGAGCCTGCTAAATCAGATGCACCTTGGTTCCCCCCCGACAGAGCAGTGGCCACATCACCTCTGACGCTCTGTTCTCATCGAGGGAAAGATGCTTGTCATCAGTACCAGAATATTGCTTTTGCCCCTTATGTGTTTCCCACAAGTTATCATTTATCCTGAGGGTGTTGTGAGAACATAGGAATTGATTACTTATAGTCAATCAGGCTCATTGAATCCAGATGGCACTTAGGGGCCTTGTAAGGGGAAGCACTACTGTGAGGACCTGTAGTCCTTTTTATAGCCAATTTCCTGGGTGTGGACAGCTTTTCTGAAGAACATGGATTTCAAGTGCATTCATCATACTTGAGATCAGAAACAAAAACTAGCGTGCTTAGAAAATAAAACCTGGACTCACCATGACAATGGGATGGGCACCGCATAGGCTGATAGCTCTTCTGCGGACCCCTCCCTATGCCCTGCATGTGCCAGGTCATGGGAGAGGAGACACTGTGTGAAGGGTTCTCTAAGCCTTTGCTCACTGCGTTAGTAGGAGCCTGGCCTTTGTGCCATGCGAGAGGCCGTTTCACAGTCCAGTTCTAGGAGTTTCACAGCACAGAAGTGCCTGTTCATGTCTCTCTGGGCCCAATACAGGGAGAACAGTCCACAGAGGGCCTAAGCACAGTGGGTACTAATAAAAATAAGTCTGTTTCTGAAGTTTAAAGATGAACAAGGATATCAGTGTATTGCTAACATAACTTTTTCATGGCTAAGCTTTGGATCAACCCCAGTGCTCAGTAGAAGGGGATCAGTCAAATTTACTATGTAAATGTTGATAACACAGCACTAAGATATTGTCCTGTGACTCAGCCACTCACAACTGTGACACTTACAACATGTAAAAATAATTCATGATGCCTTGTCAACCAGGAGTTATATCCATAACCGGTAGCATTTTCCCTTTTTTCTTTTCTCCTGCCTTCTGTCTCCCTGCCTCATCTTCCCGTGACCCCTCTATGTGATTCCCAGGGCTGTTTTCCAGGATCGGTTCCTCCAATATCTTCGCATTTCAGACTGGCAAAGCACGGGTGACGGAAGAGCCCCTGGAGAGCGCAGCTTGGTTTGGCATGTATCGGGTCAACAACCACTTGGACAATAAGTGCAGACCCCGGCCTGTGGATGACATCATCAGTTCTGCCAGGGAGATGATTCACAGCCTGAAGACACCTTTATTTCTTTTAAATACCAGCAAAAGTTTTGTCACTTATCTCAGATATGGCTGGCCCTGCCGTGAGTTTGTAAGGCCCTCTGCAGGGTGATCCTTCTCCCTCTGCAGTTCTTCTTGGAGTGGGATGGGAAGTGGGGTTTTGGGAAACCACCACTTGAGCCTGCTTGGTATTTGTTATGTTAACACTACAGCATTAAGTCTCATATTAACGCTACAGTATTTCTACTGTACTTCTTCCCATTACCATTTCCCCCCTTTGTGACCCTCTCCCCTCTGCAATCACCACACTTGTTGTCCACGTCCGTGGAAATATTACAGCATTAATTCTCATAGTGATGATGCAACGGCAGGCACTTGAAAGCTCTTAGCTAATTAAGTCCTGACAACAAGCCAGTCTGCACATGGGGGCCTGGGCACACAGGGTTTAGGCAACTCCTCCATCATGTCCAGCATCAGATGAAGAGTGACCCAGGTGTAGCACATCCTTGAAGAGCACCTTTCAGTCTGGAAAAACATTCCAAATGATTGTCAGCATGCGGCACCGGATGGCGGGAACCATTGCTCTGAAAGTGCTGAGTAGCCAGTCCCCGGTCTCACACTGCCACTGACTGGCTGGGAGACCTTCCCAAGTCACCTCACCCTACCATGTCTTGGTTGATGGTCTGGTCCTAAAGTCGGAGGGTGATGGGCAGGCTGGTCCTCATGCTGCTGCTCTTACCATCCCTCAGTCGATGCCAAACCCAGGGGGGATGAGCCAGATAGGTACAGAAAATTGCATCAAAAGCAATCTCTGCATAGAGAGGAGGGGCAGCTGGTCCAGCTTGTGGCACTGAGGTGCCCAGGGGAGAGGGTGTCTGCTGGGAGAATAGTATTGTTAAAGGCAGAGGGTCTGGGAGGGTGTTTGGAGGACAGAAAACATGCTATCAGAGGAGCAGAGGCAAGAGAAAGCATGAGACGAAGGGGGGAAAGTAGCCCAGTAAGAGCAGAGCAGAGGGATGAGGATGAGGAGGGATGAGCGTGAAGATGGATGGGGGTGAGGAGCCAGATCAGGAGCTGTCTGTGGGTATGGACAGCATTCTGAGGCTCCACATGGGTCATTGCCAGATGTTCCCTTTGAAGGACCCACCGGATGACGTGAAGTGGACAAGGAGTGGTGGAAGAGTTAAGGGACGGCATTCTCTGACCCCAGTTAGAGGGAAGGAGGTGGGCAAAGATGTTATTGAAGGCACTTGGTAACTGGATGCGGGGCTGAGGGAGAAGGAGGCGTGAAGGATGTCTCTGGGCCTCTGACTGAGCAATCTGGGCTGAGTGGCGCCAGAAGGAGGGGCACAGAGAGAGGAGAGAGACAGAAAACAGGCCTCATTCCCTGGGGATTGAATGCAACGTGGGGGAACGCCCACCCAGTCTCCGGAAGGGAGGGTGAATGTGCAGAAAAGCAGCCAGTAGAGGGGGAGTGCTGGTGGGGTGGGAAGAGCAAACTGCTTTCTGGCTGAGTGATCTCGGGAACGTCCCTAACCTCTGCAGTCCCAGCGCCACAGCCGTGCGTGCGTGGGGATTCGTCCCGCTCTGTAAGGCCAAGGTGCTCCTGGGTGCGTGTGATGAAACGCTCCCACTGATAGCTGTGTGGTCACCACCAGGCTGGATGCTCGGCCCAGCTGCCCACCGTGTCGCCCTAAGGAGCTTCCGTTTGTGTCTCACGTGAATGAGTGCCCAGAGGCTTGGGAGAGACCCTGAGGAGGAGGCTACTCAATGAAACTGTGGACAACCTGCTTTGAAACATGTTCTGTCCAAAAAAAAAGTTTGTAGGTTCAATCCCTGGTCAGGGGCACGTGTGGGAGGCAACCAACTGATGGTTCTCTCTCACATCAGTCTCCCTCTCTCTCTCTCCCTTCTTCTCTCTCTCAAATCAATAACCATGTCCTCAGGAGACGATTAAGAAAAAAATACCTAGAAAACATGTTTTATTAGTAGGCTATTTGAGACTCAGTAAGGACAACAGATCAGGAGATAATTTCAATGGGAAAGACAGCTTGTCACAGTTCCCAGGCGGAGGGGACACGCCACACCACACGGGCCTCATGAGAAATTGCCGGGTTGGTGGGAGGCAGAGAGAGTGGGTGAGAACCTTTCCTGTGGTTTCCGTGGGAAGAATGACTGAGGCAGGACAGGCAGGTTTAGGACTAGCTAGTTAGAATAATTTCTGCTGGCTCTGGGGCAGAGGGGCTGGCCCTGGGCAGATTAGGGCACCTGAATAGGTAGCCTGGAGTGTGAGAGCCTCTTAGAGAAGGTCTCTGGGGCTGTGGGCTCTTTGTATTTGATTCATTTGCATTTGAAAAGTACCTTTAGGGCCCAGTCCTTTGCTGTCATTAGGGATTGGCTAGCCCTGGGGTGGGGGTGGGGGTGGGGGGGCAGTCTCTCCTGGTTCCTTAAGACTGAGGATGTCAAAGTGTCAGAACAGATCAAAGACAAGGTTAATGCCCAACAATGGGGCAGGACAAATGTGCTAGGGCCCATCCAAGGAGAGGGAAAGACAACTTTTCCCTCTAGACAACCTTTGTCTAAGCTTCCTGTCCCTTCTGCCCCCAAAGGGGGCTCTGGGAGAGTGACATCAAAGCTGGTGGTCCTAGCAGTCCCCAGGGTGTCTCGTCCCTGGGTCACCCTAGGGGTTGTGTGGCAGTGAACACAGCTCTCCCATCCAGGCCTCTGCTGTTTCCTAGAGGCCTGTCTGCACTCTCTCTGCTTCTTCTGTTGTAGTCACGTGAAGACCCGATGCCTGGAGACCTGATTGAAATACATCGAACCAATTGGATGCGCTCTTATGAACACTGGGCCATCTACGTGGGAGACAGTTATGTGGTCCACTTGGGCAGCCCAGGTAAAGATAAATTATTTGTTTAAACAGCAGCTTTATGTTGAGAAGAGGGAAGAAAAGACAGCTCACTGCTGTGGGGATTAGCCTGCTTCCTTTTGAATTGTGACATGTTTGATCTTCATTCACTGAGTCAGGGAAAGCGATGGAATGTGGACTCCATTAGTTGACAATTCTGTTGTGACTCTTAGGTGTCCGGAACTATGCCAGGTGATAGGAAGTAAGAAAATGATGGAAAGTTCTGTCTTGCCACGGAGCCACACAGTTTTTACACCATGGGGCAGAAATGGCCAGGGCTTTGGAGTTGTTTTAAATCCTTCCTCCACGACTTTTTTCTCTTGGGTGTGTTACTTAAGTTCTCTGGCTCAAAATTGCTTTATGAAATGGAGACAGACATTTTCACCTGGGAGGCATTGTAACAGGATCAAATGAGACCTGTTCCTTCCTGGGAGGCACTCAAAAAACTCAAAAATTGGTCTAAGTCAGACCCATGCCCAAAATGCATAATATGCAAGGATTGTTACCATGTCCTCATCTTAAGTCAGGAACAAGTTGAAACAACTGAAATGCCTGGTAACTGGGGATGTGTCTGTAAATTAAAGTCACGACATCAATGGAATGCCATGGCTGTCATTCCAAGTTATCAAGTGGTTCCCCATTTGTTGCTATGGGAACATGTTTCCAATATTGTTAAGTATGTAAGTTACACAAGTTATGGATCAAGCAATTGCACTCCTGCTGAATTTAACATCTAACAACAGGAGAGTAGGAAGAAGGGACCCCCAGAGGTCAGTAGTGGGACTTTTCGGTTTTCCTTCTCCTCCTCCTTCTCCCGCCTGCACTGCTAAGCATGGCAGCACCTTACAGTGACTGTCTGTGATCTCAGATCAGTACTCCTGGCCTCACTCTTCCAACAACAGTGGGCATGAAGTAAAAGCTGTGGTGAAATATGAACCTCTGAAGGATGTGGCTAACAACGACAGTTACAAGGTCAACAACTACTTGGACAGGAGATTTAGGCCATGTCCTGTGGATGACATTGTCAAGCTGGCAATGCAGAAAATTGGTGAAATCAGGAGCTACAATGTTTTCAAGTCCAATTGTGAACATTTTGTCACCGAACTGAGAAATGGCCACAGCCACAGCGAACAGGTAAGACCCTCGAGCGATTCCTTGTGGAGTTCAGTTCACAGAAGTTGTGAGGCAGCTGTGGGTAACTATCAGAGGTGCCCTCCTGACATCTCTCACCTAAACACCTAAGGACCAAGCACCTAACTCACCCAAGATCGCCAAAGCTAAGACACACTTCAGAATGTGAACCAATAGCTTTCACTCCAATGTTAAAGGGACTTATCTAAGAAAAAGAAGAAGCTCAAAACTATGAATAGTAAGTAGTAAGATGACAATGAACTCATAGCTATCAACAACCAAACCTAAAAACACAAAAACAAAAACAAACTAAAGCAAACAACTAGAATCACAGAAATGGAGATCACATGGAGGGTCCTCAGCAGGGAGGGGGAGGGGGAGAGAGGGGGAAAAGGCACAGAGAATAAAAACCGTAAGTTGTAGGTCCAAAATAGACAGGGGAAGGTTAAGAATAGGACTGGAAATGGAGAAGCCAAAGAACTTATATGTACGACCCATGGACATGAACTAAAGGTGGGCAGGAGTCCTGGTGGGAGGGGCATGCAGGGTGGAAGGGGATAAAGAGGAGAAAAGAAATGGGACAACTGTAATAGCATAATCAATAAAATATACTTAAAAACCAGTACTTTGTCCACTGAGTCCCACTGGTTCTCCTCTGTGGAGAGCAGTTTCAGTGGGGGGATCTTTTCCAAAGGCTCCCAGTGCATCCTGGGGTTGGGAGATCATTGCCCTGCACTCAGGAACGGCTGACTCAAGTGCCCGCACCACCACCCACCAGCCAGGAGACCTGCTCGAGGGCCACTTTACTGACTAGACTGGGATTTCTCATCCAGAAACGAGCAGCTGTCTCTGTCCCATCCACTCCACAGTCTGTTGTGACCCTTAAGTGATGGGGAAGGTGATGTGACAACTGGGAAGCTCAGCTCAAAGGAGAGCCTCTGGTGCTAGCAGTTGCTCCTCTGACAAGCCTGTGGGTGATCAGGTCAAGTAGTTCCTGTTCTTTCTACAGGAGAGGAGCTCTGGGAAATCTCGAGGTTTACCTTAAGCTTATCAGCATCATTCCTGTGACCCCCAGGCTGCCATATTACAGTTCTCCTGCCACCACCATGATGCACTGGGGTCCTCTGGTCCCTAATTCTGCAGCAGCACCTCACCTGGGCCTCTGTGGTCTCAGAGCTCTGGGTCCCTTCCAAACACTGAACTGCCTGTAAACAGAGGACACCAGAGCTCAACTCCCTGCTCAGCTTCCACCCCCTGAGGGTTGTAGGCAGGTCAATTCCCCTCTTGGGCCTCAGTTTCCCTGTGTGCAGGATGAAGGGCTGGGTAGGGGACGTGGGAGGGAGGGCCTGGCTGGCCCTGTCCATAGGCAATCCCTCACCTCTGGGCTCAGCTCTCAGGACGCATCCTGGAGAGTCTTGTAGTTGTCCTGGAGAGTCTGGCAGTGGCAGGAGACAAGATCCAGATAGGATCACCGTATCCCCAGAGGAACTCCAAGGTCCCATCTCCTGGGGACACAGTCAACTGCTTCCCTGGAAGAGGTTTCTGGGATGAACAGAAGAATTCATATACCTCTGTGTGACTTGAGGGAGGGAACACCAGTCTCGCATTTTCTTTCGACACTGAACAATGCACTATTCTATTTTTCAGGCTGAAAATATAGATACCTTATCTATGATAACACTTTCACTGGCCTTGTCTATGTCACGCGCACCAAGTGCATCAGCATAACAACTGCTTGAAAAGCCACTAAATATTCTCAAGTCAGAGGCTGCTTCTCGGACCAGCTGCTCCTCTCTGTGCCTGATTCTCTCTCACTGGTGGATGGAAGGACCAATTATAACACGGCTGCAGCTTCTGGGAGAATGAGATGAATGAATCCAGTGTCCTCCTTCATCAAATATTTCAGCTACTTTCTTGTAGACTAAGACTCTCTGGAAAAGAGGTACCTACAACTCAGTGCTTCTGGCGCACTTCTAGAGGCATAAATCTTGAAAAGGCTCTTGAAATCTGAGCCTCAGTTCCTACTCCTGCGATATGGGGTAATCACGATGGCTTCGCTGTGTGTGGTTGGGGTGGTGGGAAGTGCCTGAGCACAAGCCCTGACCAAAGCTGATGCTCAATAAATTCGCTGAATGCACTTCACGTCCACCTTGCTTAACTGTACTCTCCAGGGCGGGCAAGGGACTGAAGTTCCGCCGGTGACCCCAGCACCGGATGAAGGAGTCCAACAGCCCCGCCAGACAGACACCTTGCCCTGTCCCCGCCAGGCCCCCGCAGGCCAGCCGCCATCGGGTGAAGGGTGCTCTCTGAAAGGAGTGCTAGCCTCTCGCTCCCTGTGACTGAAATGTGAAGTCACTGTCACTGTGTGGGCTCGGATCGGCATGCATCGATCTGCTCCAGGTCTGATTTCTGGAAGGCTTCTTCCCTCGAAATCAACCTGACCTATTTCCCTGCAGGCCTCGTGTGTAGTCTCAGAAGCGGTGACCCCTCCTTCTTCCCTCCCGCACCCTCACTCTGCAGGCTGCTAGGCTGCTGTCTCTACCCCGGCAACCTCCCCCACAGAGGGGTCCCCAGGAGAGAGTCATCTTCCAGTGGGGGTCACCATGGCCACCACCACTCTGGCTCTGGGGGACAGGTGACACTTTCCACTTTGCTCCCCATCCCAAAGACGTGACAGGCTGGATCCCCAGTCTCCACAGGCAGCAAACACCAGCCTGCAGCTAGTAAGAACTTACGGGAAGCTCAGGGATACTAGGAAGGAAGAGCAACTAAGGAGGTGACTTGTTGCTGCCACGAGGTAATGTGGCTACGCTCTGACCCCAGGCCCACGTCAGTTCACGTGCTTACACAGTTGCGAACGGTGGTCCCTGCATTGGTCCTGGCCTGCCTCCCATCGATGGGCTCAGCTCACCTTACACCAGGTGATGCTCTGACATGGCTGCTTCTCCGGGCCCGGGCCCAGATCACGTGGCCACACACAGCAGGGGAGGACCTTCTCTTTCCCAGTGTGACTCACTTCCCTGACACTGTAGCTGCCCCAGGATCAGTTGGCTCCCAGGGCACCTAGCAATGTGAATGTCCATCGCTTGGACAGAAACACTGGACCTTTCCTATGAGGACCGTGTCTGTTCTCTATGGTGGGTCGAAGCTCTCAGCTCTCCATGCACCTCTCCTTAGTAGCACTCATCATACCCCAACTTGACTCTCACCGTGTGCTCTTGTGACAAGGATGTGTTTTCATTACAAATGTGGTCCTACAGAGCTAGCCTCATGACTCCTTTTCCTCTCCATGGCCAGCTGAGCATCACACGTCTCACATATAAAGGTATCACCACTAATCACTTAGAAGGGCCTAATACACGGGCCACTGCACGTAAAAGAAAGAAAAAGGATACACCCCATTGCCAGGAATGAAGGGGAAGCTTACAGCTGGAGCAGAAAACGTGAGCTGATGCCGTGTGTCAGGGAGGAGGGCAGGTGTGTGGGGATTTGTACAGGGATAGACCCTCAAGGTTTCAGCCTGGAATTCGAATGCCTGTGTACCGACAGGAGTATCAGTGGTGGACCAGGAGGGCTATGGAATGGGGACTGAGATTCCCTACATGAAGCTGAATCCCTGAAAGAAAAACCCCTTAGAAAAAAGGGGGAGGAAGATGAAAGACTGCCTAGAGCTCTGGGTGTAAAGATAAAAATGTCTCCCAGGAGAAGCGGTAAGACTAAGCCATCTCTCGGAGTAAGTGGTAAGATGCAGCTTTGCTACCCCTGGAGGAACCCCCAATTTAGACTAGTCGAGTCCCCGTCATCGTCCTGCAGCCATCAACGCAGGACGCACGAGGCTCCCACATGAGCACCAACCTGCCAGCAGGGAGGGACAGTACACACACTCAATGGGAGAACTGGTAGCTTAAGGTTAAAAATAAGAAAGCACTCCAATACGTGTATTTCCGTGGGCATATGCAGACATTTCTCTGGCATAGACGTCCAGTAGTCCATCGCTCGCTCTCGAAGCTGAGGAGTGTGTGTTTAGCTCTAGCACCTGTAGCCAAACAATTTTCTAAAGTGGCCAAACCAATTTATTCCTCTCCCTTCTGTGAATCTAAGTGAGCCCCAGTTGATTTACTTTATTGACAACACTTACTATTGCCATTTAGAACAATGTCAGCCCCTCTGGAGGGAGCACAGCTGCCCATCCTGGTGGTTTCATTTACACTCACCTGATCAGTAACGTTACTGAACACAGTTTCATGTGATTATTAACCATTAGAATGTCCTTCTTTGTAGGGACCTACTCGAGCCTTTTGACATTTTCATTGGACTGGGTATTTCTTTGGGGTGTTTTTTTTTTCATTAATGTTTTTTAAACTTGAATTTTGAAGTCCTTGTCTGCCTACTCAGATATCTAAATCATATCTGAGTCTGCTCCTGGATCATTTTATCCTATGATTGTCAGTTACGTTTTTCTTCTTTACTCATCTAGTCATTTTTTTATTGGATGCTGGACATTGTTTGATACAGTATAGAGGCTCTGGGTTATTATCTTCCTCTACAGAATAGTACATTTTGATAGGGCAGGTTGTGAAACTACTGGTAGATCTCCTTGACCACATGGAAGCTTCAGTTTAGACTTGTTCGGGCAGGGCCATTTCAGTTTTAACTTACTCCTAGAGCAGAGCTATCAGTCTAGGGCAAGGGTGTCCAACCCACAGCCCTCGGGCTGCATGTGGCCCAGGAGGGCTATGAATGTGGCCCAACACAAAATCATAAATTTAGTTAAATATTATGAGAATATTTTTGTGATTATGTGTGGCACTGTCATGTAAACTAAACATGCATACGCTCTCGCTCTATGTACGCTGGCATGGCCTCAAGTTCTACGGCATGTGCGGCTTCCAGCGTGTCCTCTTCCAAGCATAGACAGTGGGATTGACACCATCAGATGTCCCATGTGCTCATGGTGACTCAGCGAGGCAGCGATTTTCAATAACATTTCAACCAACCTTTGCAACATTAGGCATTTAGTGTTATTTAGAAGTCGGGTGAGAATTCTTATTTGATTATTAAAGGTACTTTCACACCTCGAAGGTACCTCGCATGTTGCCCACCACGCTTTACTATCAACCCCCCGCCTCACCCTGCATCCACAGCTGGGAGGGCTGTGGAAGGGCCCAAAGGTTTGGGCTTTCTATTTTCCTGTCAATTAATTTTCATAATAAAAGTAAATAAAGTCCCTCATCTATTATTATTATTGTTGTTATTATTATTATTATTAGTTTCTTAATCCCAGCATGGCTTCTACAAGGTCTCAAAGGAAAAAAGAACCACAAAATAGAAAAATTACAGATAAAGGAAGATTGTTCAATGAAAGGTGGACAAATGACTAGTTTCTTGTCGCGTCAAATAGTAAGGCACTCTGCTTCATTTGTAGGGATTTTGTGCAAGTTTTCAAAGACTATATCCTGCAAAAGCATTATATGTAAAAATGTTGCCAAATTCAATGTATATGAAGGATTGTATCATAAGGACAAAATAGCAGAGCTGAAAAAAGTCTGTGTTCTGAACAAAAATTTTTTTAAAAAGTTACGACTCAGGCAGATTCCATTGTAAAAGGTAATTATGTGGTAGCATATTTAATAGCAAAAAATCAAAACCCTATACAGGTGGTGAGTTTATTAAGCAATGTGTAGAAGGCATGGAAGATATAATTTGCCTTGAAAAAGGAGGGAATATTTCTAAAATCAGTTCATCTCACCAGATTATAGCCAGGCGAATTGAAGAAATTATAAAATATATCAAGAGGAGTTTGGAGAGTAAAGCTGCTAATTTTAAACTTTATGCTGTAGTGATGGCTGATGGCCCTGATGCTACAGATACGGCCCAACTTGCCATTTTTATTAGAGGTATCGATGATGAACACACGTCACTGAAAACATGACTTCTTCAGTGTTATTAAAAGACACTTAGTCAAGAGGTTTATACAAAGCAGTAAAAAATGTGTTACAGTGATTTTCTGTTTTTTACAAGATTTTATTTATTTATTTTTAGAGAGAGAGGGGAGAAAGAGGGAGAGAAATATCAATGTGTGGTAGCCTCCTGCATGCCTCCTACTGGGGACCCAGCCCGCAACCTAGGCATGTGCCCTGACTGGAAATCAAACCAGTAACCTTTTGGTTCATAGGCCAGCACTCAATCCACTGAGTCACACCAGCCAGGGCTAAAGTGATTTTCTTTGTCCATTGTTAACATAACTGGTGAACTTAGTGATGGCGCCCCAGGGACAGGAGGTAAAACAGAGGGACTTGCAAAACTAATAGAAGACAAAGCAATTGCCACCCCAAACTCATGTTTGATGAGGTATCATTTCACAGTACATCAAGAACATTTATGCACAAAAGCTTTAAAAATAAACAATGTCATTCAAATAAATCATCATCAAAACTGAATTTCATAAGAGCCAAAGGATTCAATCATCGTCAATTCCAGGAATTTCTTAGTGATGAACCATCACTTAGTGATGTGACCATCACTGACATTTTGGAAGTAAGATGGCTAAGTCAAGGCCAAATGTTGAACAAACTTTATGATTTACGACATTACGAAGTTGTTTATGATATCAAAAAACAAATCTGTGCCAGAACTTGATGATGAAAACTGGCTTACAGAATTAGCACTTTTAGTGGATTTAACCACTCGTTTAAATGAGATAAACATGCATCTTCAAGGTGAAAACCAACTTATCAATACCATGTTTCAAACTATAACAACATTCCAAAATGAAATGGAAATTATGGCAAGCTCAAATTTAGACAAGCAATTTTATGCATTTTGACACATTGGCTAAACATAGTGCTGTAAACAGCAAAAAAAAATTGCAGCCTTGGTTTTTTATTTGATACAAGAATTTGAAAACAGATTTCCTGGAAAATAAACAATATTTTGCCTAATTTTTGACTCCATTTCCAGTCGACATAAATATGTTATCTGCCAGCTTTTCAAATGGAATGCATAGAGCTGGAATCTGACATTCAACTTAAAGGAAAACTGGATCGTGTCTCTCTCCTGGACTTTCATAGGTCCTGTCTTCCCAGAGACTGCTATCCCTTCCTTCACAAACATGCCTTATTCATGTCA